TACACACAGGTATCTTGATACCTAAGGAGGTACAGCCTCCTGTCTTAGCGTGACCTACACACAGGTCTCTTGATACCTAAGGAGGTACTTAGCGTGACCTACACACAGGTCACCTTGATACCTAAGGAGGTATTAGCGTGACCTACACACAGGTCTCTAGATACCTAAGGAGGTACTTAGCGTGACCTACACACAGGTCTCCTTGATACCTAAGGAGGTACTTAGCGTGACCTACACACAGGTCTCTTGATACCTAAGGGGGTACTTAGCGTGACCTACACACAGGTCTCTTGATACCTAAGGAGGTACTTAGCGTGACCTACACACAGGTCTCTTGATACCTAAGGAGGTACTTAGCGTGACCTACACACAGGTCTCTTGATACCTAAGGAGGTACTTAGCGTGACCTACACACAGGTCACCTTGATACCTAAGGAGGTATTAGCGTGATCTACACACAGGGCACCTTGATACCTAAGGAGGTACTTAGCGTGACCTACACACAGGTCACCTTGATACCTAAGGAGGTATTAGCGTGACATACACACAGGTCACCTTGATACCTAAGGAGGTACTTAGCGTGACCTACACACAGGTCTCTTGATACCTAAGGAGGTACTTAGCGTGACCTACACACAGCTCTCTTGATACCTAAAGAGGTACTTAGTGTGACCTACACACAGCTCTCTTGATACCTAAGGAGGTACCGCCTCGTAGCTTGGCGTGACCTACACACAGGTATCTTGATACCTAAGGAGCTACAGCCTCCTGTCTTAGCGTGACCTACACACAGGTATCTTGATACCTAAGGAGGTACTTAGTGTGACCTACACACAGGTCTCTTGATACCCAAGGAGCTACAGCCTCCAGACTCAGTGTGACCTACACACAGGTCTCCATGATACCCTAAGGTGGTACTTAGCGTGACCTACACACAGCTCTCTTGATACCTAAGGAGGTACAGCCTCTGAACTTAGCGTGACCTACACACAGGTCAACTTGATACCTAAGGAGGTATTAGCGTGACATACACACAGGTCTCTTGATACCTAAGGTGGTACTTAGCGTGACCTACACACAGGTCTCCTTGATACCTAAGGATGGTACTTAGTGTGACCTACACACAGGTATCTTGATACCTAAGGAGGTACTTAGCGTGACCTACACACAGGGCACCTTGATACCTAAGGAGGTACTTAGCGTGACCTACACACAGGTCACCTTGATACCTAAGGAGGTATTAGCGTGACATACACACAGGTCACCTTGATACCTAAGGAGGTACTTAGCGTGACCTACACACAGGTCTCTTGATACCTAAGGAGGTACTTAGCGTGACCTACACACAGCTCTCTTGATACCTAAAGAGGTACTTAGTGTGACCTACACACAGCTCTCTTGATACCTAAGGAGGTACCGCCTCGTAGCTTGGCGTGACCTACACACAGGTATCTTGATACCTAAGGAGCTACAGCCTCCTGTCTTAGCGTGACCTACACACAGGTATCTTGATACCTAAGGAGGTACTTAGTGTGACCTACACACAGGTCTCTTGATACCCAAGGAGCTACAGCCTCCAGACTCAGTGTGACCTACACACAGGTCTCCATGATACCCTAAGGTGGTACTTAGCGTGACCTACACACAGCTCTCTTGATACCTAAGGAGGTACAGCCTCTGAACTTAGCGTGACCTACACACAGGTCAACTTGATACCTAAGGAGGTATTAGCGTGACATACACACAGGTCTCTTGATACCTAAGGTGGTACTTAGCGTGACCTACACACAGGTCTCCTTGATACCTAAGGAGGTACTTAGTGTGACCTACACACAGGTATCTTGATACCTAAGGAGGTACTTAGCGTGACCTACACACAGGGCACCTTGATACCTAAGGAGGTACTTAGCGTGACCTACACACAGGTCACCTTGATACCTAAGGAGGTATTAGCGTGACATACACACAGGTCACCTTGATACCTAAGGAGGTACTTAGCGTGACCTACACACAGGTCTCTTGATACCTAAGGAGGTACTTAGCGTGACCTACACACAGCTCTCTTGATACCTAAAGAGGTACTTAGTGTGACCTACACACAGCTCTCTTGATACCTAAGGAGGTACCGCCTCGTAGCTTGGCGTGACCTACACACAGGTATCTTGATACCTAAGGAGCTACAGCCTCCTGTCTTAGCGTGACCTACACACAGGTATCTTGATACCTAAGGAGGTACTTAGTGTGACCTACACACAGGTCTCTTGATACCCAAGGAGCTACAGCCTCCAGACTCAGTGTGACCTACACACAGGTCTCCATGATACCCTAAGGTGGTACTTAGCGTGACCTACACACAGCTCTCTTGATACCTAAGGAGGTACAGCCTCTGAACTTAGCGTGACCTACACACAGGTCAACTTGATACCTAAGGAGGTATTAGCGTGACATACACACAGGTCTCTTGATACCTAAGGTGGTACTTAGCGTGACCTACACACAGGTCTCCTTGATACCTAAGGAGGTACTTAGTGTGACCTACACACAGGTATCTTGATACCTAAGGAGGTACTTAGCGTGACCTACACACAGGGCACCTTGATACCTAAGGAGGTACTTAGCGTGACCTACACACAGGTCTCCTTGATACCTAAGGAGGTACTTAGCGTGGCCTACACTCAGGTCTCTTGATACCTAAGGAGGCACAGCCTCCAGACTTAGCGTGACCTATAGTGTAGTGTATATGGTAGTGTATAGTGTAGTGTATAGTGTAGTATCGTGTATAGTGTAGTGTATAGTGTAGTGTATGGTGTAGTGTATAGTGTAGTGTATAGTGTAGTGTATGGTGTAGTGTATAGTGTAGTTTATAGTGTAGTTTAGTGTATAGTGTAGTGTATAGTGTAGTTTAGTGTATAGTGTAGTGTATAGTGTAGTGTATAGTGTAGTGTATAGTGTAGTATCGTGTATAGTGTAGTGTATGGTGTAGTGTATGGTGTAGTGTATAGTGTAGTGTATAGTGTAGTGTATGGTGTAGTGTATAGTGTAGTTTATAGTGTAGTTTAGTGTATAGTGTAGTGTATAGTGTAGTTTAGTGTATATTGTAGTGTATAGTGTAGTGTATAGTGTAGTGTATAGTGTAGTGTATAGTGTAGTTTATAGTGTAGTTTAGTGTATAGTGTAGTGTATAGTGTAGTTTAGTGTATAGTGTAGTGTATAGTGTAGTTTATAGTGTAGTTTAGTGTATAGTGTAGTGTATAGTGTAGTTTAGTGTATAGTGTAGTGTATAGTGTAGTATCGTGTATAGTGTAGTGTATGGTGTAGTGTATAGTGTAGTGTATAGTGTAGTGTATAGTGTAGTATCGTGTATAGTCTAGTGTATGATGTAGTGTATAGTGTAGTGTATAGTGTAGTGTATAGTGTAGTGTATAGTGTAGTTTAGTATATAGTGTAGTGTATAGTGTAGTGTATAGTGTAGTATCGTGTATAGTGTAGTGTATGATGTAGTGTATAGTGTAGTGTATAGTGTAGTTTAGTATATAGTGTAGTGTATAGTGTAGTGTATAGTGTAGTGTATAGTGTAGTATCGTGTATAGTGTAGTGTATGGTGTAGTGTATAGTGTAGTGTATAGTGTAGTGTATAGGGGGGTTCATGATGGGGAGGGGGGTTGGGCGGAATATTTATTTATTTTTGAGGGGGGGGGGGTAGGAGTTTATTATTTATTTATTGGGGGGACGAGGGGGGGGGGATCTTTCACCAGCCATGCCCTGCACTGTCGACCGGCACGGTGAAGTCTGGTCGAATGACCCCCCCGGTAGGATCCTGAAGTGGGACCGTTGCCTGGAACGTCGGCCCATCGTCCACTCCGGCCCAACCCTCGACCGGCCTCTCCGTTCACTCGCCCTGAAGCAGGCTCCATTACCCGAAACGTCGCCCCATCGTTCACTGCGGCCTCTCTGGATCCCCGAGTCACGTGGTTTGCACCCGCGGCTTAGGAGGTTACCCGGCCAGGGAGGGGCGAGTGGGCAGGGGGGAGGGAGGAGGGGGACGGGAGGGGAGGGGGAGGGAGGAGGGGGAGGGAGAGGGGGAGGGGGAGGGAGAGGGGGGAGGGAGAGGGGGGAGGGAGAGGGGGGAGGGAGAGGGGGTGGGAGAGGGGGGAGGGAGAGGGGGGGAGGGAGAGGGGAGAGGGAGAGGGGGGGAGGGGGAGGGGGGAGGGAGAGGGGGAGGGAGAGGGGGAGGGAGAGGGGGGAGGGAGAGGGGGGAGGGAGAGGGGGAGGGAGAGGGGGAGGGGAGGGGGAGGGGGAGGGGAGGGAGAGGGGGAGAGAGAGGGGAGAGGGGAGGGAGGAGGGGAGGGGCGGGCGAGGGAGAGGGGGAGGGAGGAGGAGGAGCGGAGGGGGAGGGGAGCAGAGGGGGAGGGAGAGGGGAGGGAGGAGGGGAGAGAGAGGGGAGGGAGGGGAGCAGAGCGGGAGGGAGAGGGGAGGGAGGAGAGAGGGAGAGAATTGAGGGGGGTAGAGAGGGAGGAGAGGGAGGGAGAGGAGAGGGAGGAGAGTGGGAACGAGAGGGGAGGGAGGGGGAGGAGAAGGAGCGGGGTAGGGAAGGCGGCAGGGGCTGTCATAATCGAGGGGGCGTTGCGAGAGAAGAGGCGTTAAACGGGCGACTCTCGGGGACAGAGACACACAGAGGAGACACGAGACACGGAGACACGTGCAGAGGAGACACGCGCAGAGGAGACACGGAGACACGGAGACACGTGCAGAGGAGACACGGAGACACGTGCAGAGGAGACACGAGACACGGAGACACGTGCAGAGGGGACACGAGACACGGAGACACGTGCAGAGGAGACACGCGCAGAGGAGACACGGAGACACGGAGACACGTGCAGAGGAGACACGGAGACACGTGCAGAGGAGACACGAGACACGGAGACACGTGCAGAGGGGACACGAGACACGGAGACACGTGCAGAGGAGACACGCGCAGAGGAGACACGGAGACACGGAGACACGTGCAGAGGAGACACGGAGACACGTGCAGAGGAGACACGGAGACACGCAGAGGGGACACGGAGACACGCGCAGAGGGACAGCAGCTCGGCTCGGGCCTTGGTGATCATCATCGGAGGGCACGGTGATTAACGGTACGGTGAACTCACCAATCAGTCAGTCAGTAAACTGACCAATCAGTCAGTCAGTAAACTGACCAGTCAGTCAGTCACTCGACTCGCCAGCCAGTCAGTCACTCGACTCGCCAGCCAGTCAGACACTCGACTCACCAGTCAGACAGACACTCGACTCGCCAGCCAGTCAGACACTCGACTCGCCAGCCAATCAGACACTCGACTCACCAGTCGGACACTCGACTCACCAGTCAGACACTCGACTCACCAGCCAGTCAGACACTCGACTCGCCAGTCAGTCAGACACTCGACTCGCCAGTCAGACAGACACTCGACTCACCAGTCAGTCAGACACTCGCCAGTCAGTCAGTCAGTCACTCGACTCACCAGCCAGTCAGTCAGTCACTCGACTCACCAGCCAGTCAGTCACTCGACTCACCAGTCAGTCAGTCACTCGACTCACCAGTCAGTCAGTCACTCGACTCACCAGCCAGTCAGTCAGTCACTCGACTCACCAGTCAGTCAGTCACTCGACTCGCCAGTCAGTCAGTCACTCGACTCACCAGCCAGTCAGTCAGTCACTCGACTCACCAGTCAGTCAGTCACTCGACTCACCAGCCAGTCAGTCAGTCACTCGACTCACCAGTCAGTCAGTCACTCGACTCGCCAGTCAGTCAGTCACTCGACTCACCAGCCAGCCAGTCAGTCACTCGACTCGCCAGTCAGTCAGACACTCGACTCACCAGCCAGTCGGACACTCGACTCGCCAGTCAGTCAGACACTCGACTCGCCAGTCAGACAGACACTCGACTCGCCAGCCAGTCGGACACTCGACTCGCCAGCCAGTCAGTCACTCGACTCGCCAGTCAGTCAGACACTCGACTCGCCAGCCAGTCAGTCAGACACTCGCCAGTCAGTCAGTCACTCGACTCGCCAGTCAGTCGGACACTCGACTCGCCAGTCAGTCAGACACTCGACTCGCCAGCCAATCAGACACTCGACTCGCCAGTCAGTCAGACACTCGACTCGCCAGTCAGTCAGTCAGACACTCGCCAGCCAGTCAGACACTCGCCAGCCAGTCAGTCAGACACACGACTCGCCAGCCAATCAGTCACTCGACTCGCCAGTCAGTCAGACACTCGACTCGCCAGTCAGTCAGACACTCGACTCGCCAGTCAGTCAGACACTCGACTCACCAGTCAGACACTCGACTCGCCAGTCAGTCAGTCACTCGACTCGCCAGTCTGTCAGTCACTCGACTCGCCAGCCAGTCAGACACTCGACTCACCAGTCAGACAGACACTCGACTCACCAGTCAGTCAGACACTCGACTCCCCAGTCAGACAGACACTCGACTCACCAGTCAGACAGACACTCGACTCGCCAGCCAGTCGGACACTCGACTCGCCAGTCAGTCAGACACTCGACTCGCCAGCCAGTCAGACACTCGACTCACCAGTCAGACAGACACTCGACTCGCCAGTCAGTCAGACACTCGACTCGCCAGTCAGTCAGACACTCGACTCGCCAGTCAGACACTCGACTCGCCAGTCAGACAGACACTCGACTCGCCAGTCAGTCAGTCACTCGACTCGCCAGTCAGTCAGACACTCGACTCGCCAGTCAGTCAGACACTCGACTCGCCAGTCAGTCAGACACTCGACTCGCCAGTCAGTCAGACACTCGACTCGCCAGTCAGTCAGTCAGACAGACACTCGACTCGCCAGTCAGTCAGACACTCGACTCGCCAGTCAGTCAGACACTCGACTCGCCAGCCAATCAGACACTCGACTCGCCAGTCAGTCAGACACTCGACTCGCCAGTCAGTCAGACACTCGACTCGCCAGTCAGTCAGACACTCGACTCGCCAGCCAATCAGACACTCGCCTCGCCAGTCAGTCAGACACTCGCCTTGCCAGTCAGTCAGACACTCGCCAGTCAGTCAGTCGGACACTCGACTCGCCAGCCAATCAGACACTCGACTCGCCAGCCAATCAGACACTCGCCTCGCCAGTCAGTCAGACACTCGACTCGCCAGTCAGTCAGACACTTGACTCGCCAGCCAGTCAGACACTCGAATCGCCAGTCAGTCAGACACTCGCCAGCCAGTCAGACAGACACTCGACTCGCCAGTCAGTCAGACAATCGACTCGCCAGCCAGTCAGTCAGACACTCGAATCGCCAGCCAATCAGACACTCGCCAGCCAATCAGACACTCGACTCGCCAGTCAGTCAGACATTCGAATCGCCAGCCAATCAGACACTCGCCAGCCAGTCAGACACTCGCCAGCCAGTCAGACACTCGCCAGCCAATCAGACACTCGCCAGCCAATCAGACACTCGGCTCGCCAGCCAATCAGACACTCGACTCGCCAGTCAGACAGCCACTCAACTGGCCCTGCCAACCCAGCGGCCTCGGCGCCGTTGAATTAACCGGCTGTTGGTAGTGCTGTTGGTAGTGCTGTTGGTAGTGCTGGTGCTGGTGGTGGTGGTGCTGCTGGTGTTGGTGGTGCTGGTGGTGGTCTACTCAGCTGTTCCCCCACCCACCCCACCCGCACCGCCCACAACCGCAGCCACCGGGCTCCGCGAGCATGGCCCTGGACGTCGTTGGCACGTTGCTGTGCATCGCCGGGTGGACTCTGGTGGGCACGATCATCACCAACCACTACTGGAAGGTGTCGACGGTGGCGGGCAGCGTCATCACCACCAACACCATCTACGAGAACCTGTGGCAAGCGTGCGCCACCGACTCCATGGGGGTCTCCAACTGCCGGGACTTCGACTCCATGCTGAACCTGCCTGGTGAGACTGAGAGCGAGAGAGAGGGAGGGATAGGGGATTGATAGGGTGGATGGGGAGAGAGAGATAGGGTGGATGGGGGAGAGAGAGGGAGGGATGGATAGGGGGTGACAGGGTGGATGGGGAGAGAGAGGGAGGGATAGGGGGTGACAGGGTGGATGGGGAGAGAGGGAGGGACAGGGTGGATGGGGAGAGAGGGATGGATAGGGGGGGTGACAGGGTGGATGGGGAGAGAGAGGGAGGGATGGATAGGGGGTGACAGGGCGGATGGGGAGAGAGAGGGATTGATAAGGGGGGGGGGGGGGGGGTGGTGACAGGGTGGATGGGGAGAGAGAGGGATGGATAGGGAGGGACAGGGTGGATGGGGAGAGAGAGGGAGGGATAGGGGGTGACAGAGTGGATGGGGAGAGAGAGGGTGGGATAGGGGATTGATAGGGTGGATGGGAATAGAGAGATATAGAGAGGGACAGGGTGGATGGGGAGAGAGAGGGAGGGATAGGGGGGTGACAGGGTGGATGGGGAGAGAGAGAGAGAGGGATAGGGTGGATGGGGAGAGAGAGACAGATAGGGTGGATGGGGAGAGAGAGGGAGGGATGGATAGGGGGTAACAGGGCGGATGGGGAGAGAGAGGGATGGATAGGGGGGGGGGGTGACAGGGTGGATGGAGAGAGAGAGGGATTGATAAGGGGGGGGGGGGTGACAGGGTAGATGGGGAGATAGAGGGATGGATAGGGAGGGACAGGGTGGATGGGGAGAGAGAGAGAGGGATAGGGGGTGACAGGGTGGATGGGGAGAGAGAGGGAGGGATAGGGGATTGATAGGGTGGATGGGGAGAGAGAGATATAGGGTGGATGAGGAGAGAGGGAGGGACAGGGTGGATGGGGAGAGAGAGAGAGATAGGGTGGATGGGGAGAGAGGAGGGACAGGGTGGATGGGGAGAGAGAGGGAGGGATAGGGGTGACAGGGTGGATGGGGAGAGAGGGAGGGACAGGGTGGATGGGGAGAGAGAGAGAGGGATAGGGGGTGACAGGGTGGATGAGGAGAGAGAGGGATGGATAGGGGGGGGTGACAGGGTGGATGGGGAGAGAGAGGGAGGGATAGGGGGTGGTGACAGGGTGGATGGAAAGAGAGAGGGAGGGATAGGGGATTGATAGGGTGGATGGGGAGAGAGAGATAGGGTGGATGAGGAGAGAGGGAGGGACAGGGTGGATGGGGAGAGAGAGAGAGATAGGGTGGATGGGGAGAGAGGGAGGGACAGGGTGGATGGGGAGAGAGAGGGAGGGATGGGGGGGGGGTGACAGGGTGGATGGGGAGAGAGAGAGAGGGATAGGGGGTGACAGGGTGGATGGGGAGAGAGAGGGAGGGACAGGGTGGATGGGGAGAGAGAGATAGAGGGATAGGGGGTGACAGGGTGGATGAGGAGAGAGAGGGATAGGGGGTGACAGGGTTGATGGGGTGAGAGAGGGAGGGATAGGGGGGGTGACAGGGTGGATGGGGAGAGAGAGATAGATATAGGGAATGACAGGGTGGATGGGGAGAGAGAGAGAGAGATCGGGAGGGACCCCAACATCCCCAGGGGCCGGTCAGCGTACTAGCCGGCCACGCCAAACTCGCCATGCACGGGGCGAGGAAGGTGGCGCTGGAGCGGCACCTTCGGGGCCAGCGGCCTGGACACCTCCCGTCGGTGCCAGGCTGGGTGGACCGGCGTTCCGGACTGCGCACAGGCGCAGCTGAGCCACTCCGTGCCAGCCACGGTGCAGCGGAGGGCGCTGGAGGAGGGCTGAGTGGTCGGTGGCTCTGCGTGGAGACACTGCAAGGAGGGCTGAGTGCAGATGCAGCACTTGTCGTAGTTTATTTTTAAAAAAAGGATGCATAGAAAACAGTGTTGAGTCTATGGTTGCAGTGTTGAGTCTATGGTTGCAGTGTTGAGTTTATGGTTGCAGTGTTGAGTCTATGGTTGCAGTGTTGAGTCTATGGTTGCAGTGTTGAGTCTATGGTTGCAGTGTTGAGTCTATGGTTGCAGTGTTGAGTCTATGGTGCAGTGTTGAATCTATCGGCAGTGCTGAGTCTATGGTGCAGTGTTGAGTCTATGGGCAGTGCTGAGTCTATGGTGCAGTGTTGAGTCTATGGTGCAGTGTTGAGTCTATGGGCAGTGTTGAGTCTATGGTGCAGTGTTGAGTCTATGGTCCAGTGCTGAGTCTATGGGCAGTGCTGAGTCTATGGTGCAGTGCTGAGTCTATGGGCAGTGTTGAGTCTATGGGCAGTGCTGAGTCTATGGGCAGTGTTGAGTCTATGGGCAGTGTTGAGTCTATGGTGCAGTGTTGAGTCTATGGGCAGTGTTGAGTCTATGGGCAGTGTTGAGTCTATGGAGCAGTGTTGAGTCTATGGTGCAGTGTTGAGTCTATGGGGCAGTGTTGAGTCTATGGTGCAATGTTGAGTCTATGGTGCAGTGTTGAGTCTATGGTGCAGTGTTGAGTCTATGGTGCAGTGTTGAGTCTATGGGCAGTGTTGAGTCTATGGGTCGTGTTGAGTCTATGGGCAGTGTTGAGTCTATGGGCAGTGTTGAGTCTATGGTGCAGTGCTGAGTCTATGGTGCAGTGCTGAGTCTATGGGCAGTGCTGAGTCTATGGTGCAGTGCTGAGTCTATGGGCAGTGTTGAGTCTATGGGCAGTGCTGAGTCTATGGTGCAGTGTTGAGTCTATGGTGCAGTGTTGAGTCTATGGTGCAGTGTTGAGTCTATGTGCAGTGTTGAGTGTATGGGTCGTGTTGAGTCTATGGGCAGTGTTGAGTCTATGGGCAGTGTTGAGTCTATGGTGCAGTGCTGAGTCTATGGTGCAGTGCTGAGTCTATGGGCAGTGCTGAGTCTATGGTGCAGTGCTGAGTCTATGGGCAGTGTTGAGTCTATGGGCAGTGCTGAGTCTATGGGCAGTGTTGAGTCTATGGGCAGTGTTGAATCTATGGTGCAGTGTTGAATCTATCGGCAGTGCTGAGTCTATGGTGCAGTGTTGAGTCTATGGGCAGTGCTGAGTCTATGGTGCAGTGCTGAGTCTATGGGCAGTGCTGAGTCTATGGTGCAGTGCTGAGTCTATGGGCAGTGTTGAGTCTATGGGCAGTGCTGAGTCTATGGGCAGTGTTGAGTCTATGGGCAGTGTTGAATCTATGGTGCAGTCTTGAATCTATCGGCAGTGCTGAGTCTATGGTGCAGTGTTGAGTCTATGGGCAGTGCTGAGTCTATGGTGCAGTGTTGAGTCTATGGTGCAGTGTTGAGTCTATGGGCAGTGTTGAGTCTATGGTGCAGTGTTGAGTCTATGGGCAGTGCGGAGTCTATGGTGCAGTGCTGAGTCTATGGTGCAGTGCTGAGTCTATGGGCAGTGCTGAGTCTATGGGCAGTGCTGAGTCTATGGGCAGTGCTGGGTCTATGGGCAGTGCTGAGTCTATGGTGCAGTGCTGAGTCTATGGGGCAGTGTTGAGTCTATGGTGCAGTGTTGAGTCTATGGGGCAGTGTTGAGTCTATGGGCAGTGTTGAGTCTATGGGCAGTGTTGAGTCTATGGGCAGTGCTGAGTCTATGGGCAGTGTTGACTCTATGGGTAGTGCTGAGTCTATAGGCAGTGTTGAGCCTATGGTGCAGTGTTGAGTCTATGGGCAGTGCTGAGTCTATGGGCAGTGTTGAGTCTATGGGCAGTGTTGAGTCTATGGGTCGTGTTGAGTCTATGGGGCAGTGTTGAGTCTATGGGCAGTGTTGAGTCTATGGGCAGTGTTGAGTCTGGGTCTCTATGCGTGCACGTACATTGAACTTCTTTCACACCGTACGTAGCCAACCGTGCCAATCGACCGAGAGCTCACAAGCTCAGCGGGGGGGGGGGTCGTGACGTGCCTCGTCAACGCGTTCGCGAGTTCACGGAGTTTCCCTAACTCGTACAAGCGCACGCGAAAAGTGGAGTAGCGACCGCAGTGGGGGTGGGGGGAGGAGGCAAGGCACGGGGGCAAGGCAGGGGGCAAGGCAGGGGGCAGGGGCGCACGTGGCTGCTCTTGCGAAAGGAGCGAGCGAGCGCGTGGCCTTGGCCAGACGAACTCCGTGACCGCAGGGTTTCTGTACGGGGCGACAGGTCGACTCCCACACTTCTCCCCGTGTCTCTCTCTCTCTCTCCCACACTCTCTCTCCCCCTCGCTCATCCACGCGCTCGCTCACTCGTTCACTCACCCACCTACCCACCCACTCGCTCACCCACCCACTCGCTCATCCACGCACTCACCCACCCATCCACTCATTCACTCATCCGTTCACCCACTCATCCACCAACCCACTCACCCACCCATCCACTCATTCACTCATCCGTTCACCCACTCATCCACCCACCCACTCACGTACTCATTCACTCACCTACCCACTTACTCATCCACGCGCTCACTCACTCGTTCACTCACCCACCTACCCACCCACTCGCTCACCCACCCACTCGCTCATCCACGCACTCACCCACCCATCCACTCATTCACTCATCCGTTCACCCACTCATCCACCCACCCACTCACGTACCCATTCGCTCACCCACCCACTCGCTCACCCACCCACTTGCTCACTCATCCACGCGCTCACTCACTCGTTCACTCACCCACCTACCCACCCACTCGCTCACCCACCCACTCGCTCATCCACGCACTCACCCACCCATCCACTCATTCACTCATCCGTTCACCCACTCATCCACCAACCCACTCACCCACCCATCCACTCATTCACTCATCCGTTCACCCACTCATCCACCCACCCACTCACGTACCCATTCACTCACCCACCCACTTGCTCATCCACGCTCTCACCCACTCATCCACCAACCCACTCACCCACCCATCCACTCATTCACTCATCCGTTCACCCACTCATCCACCCACCCACTCACGTACCCATTCACTCACCTACCCACTTGCTCATCCACGCTCTCACTCACTCGTTCACTCACCCACCTACCCACCCACTCGCTCACCCACCCACTCGCTCATC